TACAGGGATGTATACTCTCATCTAGAAATGGACCATTTTATGCAAAATACAATGTTTATTGAAAAATAAATAAAACATCCTTCCCCCAGGGGCCAGAGGGCAGTCTGGGATGGAAGGGTGACCAGAAACACTCACTATAAGATGGTTTTTAGCACTGTTCTTGGCAACCTGTGTGTGTGTGTGTGTGTGTGTGTGTGTACGCGCGCGTGTCGTCCATCAGTTGTGTCCGACTCTTTGCGACTCCATGGACTGCAGCCCACCAGGCTCCTCTGTCCATGGGATTCTCCATATAAGAATACTGGAGTGGGTTGCCATGCCCTCCTCCAGGGGATCGATCAAACCCAGGTCTCTTTTGTCTCCTGCTGATCCACTGGGGCAACCTGCGAGGTGACATCAAATACCTGGATAAGCTTAGACACATTTCTATAAAGATAGCACCTTTCTATATCATCCATCAAAGCTCAGCAGAATTTTCATCATAATGAGTCCCAATAAAAGTCCAATTTAGACAGACTGGGACCTAACTTCAGCAAACAGAAAACCTGACTCGTTTCCGTGGGTAGGTAGTCTTAGTCATTCTGTTTTGCCTTTCTACCACTCTACAATTAAGGGATCTTTTAACACCTCCCTTTTCGGCCAACAGAAGCCGAAAGATTAAGTGAAGTGTCTAACTCGCTTCAAAAAGACCTACCCGGGAGGGGCTGGAGGCCAGTGGACTCAGGAAGCTCACTCTTCGGGTGAGGGCAGACAGCCCCCTGGGTTCTCCTCTGGACCAGGAGCCGAGAGTGAGGGTGCCAGACCCTGGTCTACTTTGGAATTTTCAGTTGCACGGAGTAAATGTTTTCCACCATGGGTTATGTGTTTAGCTGTGGCTTGTGATGATTCAAACCGAGAACAAGAGATTTCCCACACCTGCAAGTGGGTTACGTAAGAGTTACAGGAAACAAACACCTCAAGAGTCCATTAACTCTGAGCTGAGAACTGAGGTTTAAATAATGCAAGGTGGAAATGAAACACAGACATCGCAGAAAGAAATATATAACATATGCAGCCCTCCATGACCCGATACAGGGAGCACTGATTATTCCATGCAGAAAGAGTGTTATTTGTGAGTGCAGAGCGGCTCCCAGGTCTTGACCATCCTCACAGGAACAGTCTAGAAATGAAAGCGACAGTGATACAAAACCTTCTTCTTTGTCACCACAAGATTTAGGAGATTGTTTCTCATAAACATTTTTTTTAACCCTGAGGCTGATATTACCAAAGTGATAAAAGAAAAGTTACTATCAGCTGCAGTTTATTCAGGGCAGAATTTTAAAAATCATTTATTCATGAGTCTGGAATGGATTCCCTCTCCCCCAACCCCCCCCCCACACGACGACAAGAGGAAAAGATGGCAAACAGTGGTGTCTGGTCTTATTACACAGTGATGATACAATTCTCAAATCAGTCTACTGATCACAACAAAGAGGACACTAACATCAACGAACTCAACACGATCACGTTTAAGAAGTTCATCAAAATCGGGTCTTTCTTATGAAAGGGGATTTGGAGTACGACCTCAGACAAGAATAACAGCACAGTTCTCTCTTACAATGTCTATTTCACAGCACTCTGCCTCCACAGAGGATCTAGCTAGTGAAGTTCAGAGTTCACTTGGGGGGTTGCCTTGCAAGTTTCAACCTCAGCCTCTTAGTCTCCTGGAGGTCAGATTGGCTAATGTCAAGAAGTTGTGTGTGTGTGTGTCTGTGTGTGTGTGTGTGTATGTGCACGCATGCACATATGCAGTCAGTCCTGTCTTTCTGTGACCCCCATGGACTATAGCCCACCAGACTCCTTTGTCCATGGGATTTTCCAGGCAAGAATACTGGAGTGGGTTGCCATTTTCTTCTCCAAGGGATCTTTCCAACCCAGGGATCGAAACCATGTCTCTTGAGTCGCTTGCCAATGAAAGTGAAAGTGAAAGTTGCTCAGTCATGTCCTACTCTTTGCAATCCCATGGACTGTACAGTCCATGAAATTCTCCAGGCCAGAATACTGGAGTGGGTAGCCTTTCCCTTCTCCAGGGGGTCTTCCCAACCCAGGGATCAAACCCAGGTCTCCTACATTGCAGGCACATTCTTTACTAGCTGAGCCACAAGGGAAGCCCAAGAATACTGAAGTGGGTAGCCTATCCCTTCTCCCGTAGATCTTCCTGACCCAGACATCGAACCCAGGCCTCCTGCATTGCAGGCAGATTCTTTACCAACTGAGATAAAATCTGCAAGTTATTCCATTCAAGCATTGGGGAGGCCATTGAATTAAACTGGAAAAGACAGCCATGTTGAACTGGGAACTGTCTGAACATCAGTTTGTATGTAAGTAACAAATAGGTAGAAGAAAAAGACTTTCAGCATCTGCCTTCCTGATGTCTCTGAGGTTGTTTTTGTGAGCGAGTCTGGAGCAGTGGTGAGCCACCTCCCACAAGGCAGCAGCCTGGTGACTTTCTCTCCTGTATTTCCATAGTGACTTCCACATGTTTATAAAATGTGTCCTTTCTAAAAACACTAACAGCACTTCACCAGAACCGGCTGTTCGTCTGCACATCAGAGTCAGGAACTCTTTGCTGCCACTTGGCTTCAATGCACTGGACGTACAGCTTCCTGTGTGCCAGGTGTAAGTATGCATGACTGACTTGGTACAGTCACATGCCCTCAGGGCTGCAGCGAGTCTGGGGGAGGTGGCAGCTGAAGAACCACCTCACCTAACCTGCTCCCTATGCCTTATTTGTATGATGTCTTTGCAGTTCAAGTGACAGAGCTGAGTGTCCCAGTTGTGGACTTTTACTGGGTTTTTCTTGAGAAGTTAAATTACCTTCACTACCTTTCAGCCCAAATTGGGTGAAGGTAATGGAGATGGACGGAGAAGGCAATGGCACCCCACTCCAGAACTCTTTCCTGGAAAATTCCATGGACGGAGGAGCCTGGTAGGCTGCAGTTCACCGGGTCACTAAGAGTCAGACACGACTGAGCGACTTCCCTTTCACTTTTCACTTTCATGCATTGGAGAAGGAAATGGCAACCCACTCCAGTGTTCTTGCCTGGAGAATCCCAGGGACGAAGGAGCCTGGTGGGCTTCTGTCTATGGGGTCGCACAGACTCGGACACAACTGAGGCGACTTAGCAGCAGCAGCAGCAGCAATGGAGATAGAATTTAGTACCAAAGTGAGTTCGAAAAAGGTTTTCCAGGAAAGATATCAGTATTCTGGGGATTTCTCTGGTGGTGTGGTGGCAAGACTCGGCTCTTCTAAGGCAGGGGGGTGTGGCTTCAATCCCTAGTCCAAGAACTAAGATTCCACATGCCCTCGAAGTACAGACAGAAAATAAATAAATCAATCTAGGAGTTGGTAAAACTCTAAAAAAAAAAAAAAAGATACCAGTGTTCTTTCCCCCCGACCCCCAGGTATAACCACAGAAAATCAAGGCTGGAAAAACTCTTTTAACAATCATATGACCAAATCCTCCACCCAACACCTGAACTCCTATGTAACATCTCTGCCAAGTTGCTGTCCTGTCTCTGCTAGAATAGCCTTAGGGGCAGGAAGTTCTTCCAACTTAATCCTCCTTAAAATAGAACAGCCAGGCAGATGAAGCAGGTAAACAAACTTCACCGAGCACGATTATGAATTGTACCTAAGTTTTCAAGACAGTGAGCAGATTGTCTACTGCTACTTAAAAGAACCGATCAGATTTGTTGCAAGCATCCCAGGCTTTCTGCAGTGATTCAAACTGGGGAATTTATTAGTGTGGGTTTTATATATCATAGCTGAATAACTGTGCATTTGGTGGAGGAAGGATCGGATTAAAAATCTCTTAGAATTAATCACTGTAAGGCCCCGAAACAAAGGGAAAGTATGTGCTTGGTGCTAGAGAAGACTCTTGAGGGTCCCTTGGACAGCAAGGAGATCAAGCCAATCAATCCTAAAGGAAATCAACCCTGCATATTCATTGGAAGGACTGATGCTGAAGCTCCAATACTTTGAACACCTGATGTGAAGAGCCCATTCATTGGAAAAGACCCTGATGCTGAGAGAAATTGAGGGCAGAAGGGGGAAACAGAGGATGAGATGGTTGGATGGCATCACTGACTCAATGGACATGAGTTTGAGCAAATTCTGGGAGACAGTGAAGGACAGGGAAGCCTGGCGTCCTGCAGTTCATGGGGTCGCAAAGAGTTGGACATGACTGAGTGACTGAACAACAAGAACATGTGTTGTAAAGAGTAAAATTTCCTTTTGAAGATGCAATAAATAGTTTGTGCAGTGAGTCTGGGTACAAGAATTGGGGAGCTCTGGGGGATGAGGTGCCTGCTGACTGCAGTCAGTTGGGCTGTAGGAGGCAGAAGAGGTGAGCAAGGCCAGTCACAGCCTGCGGTGACTCTGCCTCTCCCAAAGGCATCAGGAGAGGGTACCCTGACTTGATCCTCTCCTTCTGGCCTGCTTGGCACCACTGCCAATGATTCTTTTGTGTCTGATTTCTCTCAAGTTACTCAGGCTGCTTCAAGATTTTAAACTGCCTCCCACCCTCCCAAAGACTAACAAAGTAACACATAGATCAGTGGATGATCATTTCAGAATTTGTTTACAAAGGCTCCGTTCCTCTGAAGGGACACTTTTATGTCTACATTTTTATTTTTTGATCATATATAGGAATAAGTCTACTTGAACTGAAAACATTCACCCTGAAGACACACATGTAAACTTTAAAGATGGAGTGACTCAGACGATTCCATTTTGAGCGCCGCCCTTAAATAGCAGTGATATTGCGCTTTAACAGAACATCAGTGACAAACGGAAACAGGACAACAAACCAACCATAGAGTCAGTATGTCTTTTTATAGAGAGGCCTCTTTCTGCTTCAAAAGGATCAGAGCACTAACACTGAGGGGCTAGATGATCAGTGAGCAGACCTCCCTGCGAAAAAGAATATAGCTCCCTCAGCCACGGAGACTTGGATGTGAAATCAGTGAAAGTCTATCAGGTACTCGGGGTAGATCTGGTTGGCGTCGAACACCACAAAGACCCTGGGATTCCAGGTGTCATCCACGCAGCTGTCATACAAGTTTACATAGCTGCCGTCTTTGGAGGGAGGGCGCATGTATTTGGAGTCTCCGTTTATGTAGTCTCCAATCAGCACTCGGGCGAGAAACATGGATTTGTGTGCTCGGAACAGATGCCGCTGTTGCAGGCTGACCCCGTGGATCTGGAATGTGTTGCCGTGCTTTACGTCATCTTGGCAGAAGCGGCTGGAGTAAGCAGCGTCTCGAGCAAAATAGGTTCCTTAGACAAAAAGGGCCCCGGAGAGCCAAGGTTACTCCAAGGAATGTATGAAACACAAGCGAAAATACTGTGATGGCTAGGGGGATAGACACATAGAATCATATAGCCAAAATAGATGTGGAATTCCCTCAACTGTAGGTGTTAAAGAAAAGAGCAGAAATCTGTCTGTTGTGGACAGCTGCAATGCAGGCGGCCACTGGGGTATGTGTGTTAGTACAGACCAGTCCCCACCACCAACACCATCCCCATCCCCACCAAAATGCAGCTACTAGACTTGTGTAGTGGTATTCAAAAAGAATATTACAGGGACTCCCCTGGCAATCCAGTGGTTAAGAGTCCAAGCATCCAAGGCAGGGGGCCTGGGTTGGATCCCTGGTTGGGGAACCAAAATCCCACATGCCATGTGGTGTGGCCAAAAAAAAAAAATCTTATAAATAAATCCAATATGTAAGACAGACACCAGTGGCTTCTGTGATTACAAGTGGCACGACCTGCCTCATAAATGCTGGGACCTCCCTCCCTCTTCTATTTCCTTCTACCCTTTCCCCACCTGCTACCCACCCATCTAAGCACCCATCACTGGGGAGCACAGTGAAACCACGGGTCTGCACAAATGATTTCAAACCCCAAGAAACCACGTTTCTATTTTACAAGGTGACAGTTCAGTAATATTTTTGGAGATGACAGAACCCCACATCCAGGAAAAGATTTCTGGAGAGAATGTGATGCAGCTCATACCCGAACGTTCCAGAAAGACAAGCTCATGGGTCCACTGGCTAAACAGGAATCTCTGTGAAGCATCTGACTCTTCCAAACTGGTAGGTCTAGGAGGCTGCCCTCAGTAAGGGAATATTTACCCAAAACACTTTAGAAATGAATTGCAAAGTCCCGTATTACCCAAATCCAGTGGGATTTATATAACACCTTTCTGATCCTCTTACACGGTTAAATAAAGGGGATGGCCTTTTCAGGGAAAGGCCTCTCTTGCTGGAGGGGAGGTACAAAATAAGGACCAAGCAATGTCTGCATACATGCTAAGTCGCTTCAGTCATATCGACTCTTTGCAACCTAGTGGACTACAGCCTGCCAGGCTCCTCTGTCCATGGGATTCTTCAGCCAAGAATACTAGAGTGGGTAGCCATGCGCTCCTCCAGGGGATCTTTCTGACCAGGGATCAAGCCTATGTCTCCTGTAATGCAGGCGGATTCTTTACCACTGAGTCACCGGGGAAGCCCAAGTTAAAGTCCATCTCTTACCTTTTCCCCTCCCCTCTTTCCTTAACATGCTTGTCTAGTGAGCAAAGACTAAAGAACTCAGACTTCCACAACATTAGAAAAAAGGGGAGGATTTCCCCCATTATTTAATGCTCATCAACATTCCAAGCTATCATTTTCTAAAAAAACAAACAAAAAATAGACCTATGTACCATGTACACATTAACTGATTTATTTTTTAGTGCTCTGTGTACTTGACATAAAACAGTTTGATATACAGGTTTATCCATGGAAAGGACTTATATGTGGAAACTAAATGTCATAATGCAAAAATGAGCAAATCTAGACATGATGCCCCATCCGAATGGCTGGGCCTTGGGGGCGGCGGTGGGGGGTGGTTATCTGACCTCGGAGAGATGTGAAAAGTCTTCCTTCCATCTTGCACAAGCAGGAAGTGGCTTTCTGGTAGCTCGGAAACTCTTGAGGGTGTGCCAGGAGCCTAGCATTTAACTTTTGCCTCTAACATTTAACTTAATGCCTCTCGAGCCCCTGGATCATCATCAATCCTCTCTCAAAGAGAAGACTATCTCCTAGCACTCAAACTAGGTTCGGATGATTACCTTTTCCAAAGAGAGCACCGTGGATGCCATTGATTCTCCAGTCAAAGTTATGAATGCAAATTGCCTCCACGAACTCACTGCTGGTGCCATGGAACAGCATTTGTTCATTAATCTGAGGCACGCCTCTCTTTTTCTTGAGCTGAGCCTTTTTCCTAAAAGCACAACGCACAGACACAAAACACACAGAAATTACTGTAAGTGGCATCATTGATTCCTCAAGGAGTAAAGCGCGCAGAAAGGTGAAACAGAAAACGGTAATTTAACGTCTACCATAAATGGATATACAATAGCTCTCGAAAAAAGATAATCTCAGATGCTCTTGAGACATCTAAACTGGTTCATCAAAAATTACTAGTTAACAGACAAGGGTAAAAATTATACCCAAAACTACAATATAAATCAACTATACTTCAATTGAATATTTTAATTTTAAAAATTAAAAAAAAAAAACTATAGATCTCCCAGATGATGATGCCCCATCACAGTAAAATGACTGACTGCTTAAACCAGTCAAGCTTTACCGATACATAAAAATGACACTACAGACAATAAATAACAGAGTTCTCAGAGTCTTTAAATAGTGAAATTCCTTGAGCAAGGACTATGCCTTAATCATTTTATCCCCAGAGTGGGACATGTTAGTTGAACTGCACTGAATTTTGAATCTTCAGGCTGGAAGGGACATAAAACCATTCAGTTCAACCCTCTTCCCAGTGGACAAACCTCTTCCAAAACATTCATAGATATTCCATGTAGGACTTATTGTAAAAGCAAAAAAACAAACATGATGAAAATGGACTAAAATCCTCTCAAGAGGAAAAACTGAACAAATAATTATATATTTATATATGAAAATGAAAATAATGAAACAGGTCTACATGTATTAACACAAATAACTCTTGAAAAATAATGCTGTCTGTAAAAAAGAATAATGCAAAAAGAGACCTATTACTCAAAGTAATAATGTGCATTGTAGAAGTATACAAATGAAGGTAGTAAAAACATCTAACTGTGGATAAGAACGGCTGTCCCCAACCTTTTAGGCACCAGGGTCCGGTTTTGTGGAAGACGACCCTTCCACGTACCAGGGATGGGGGGATGGTTTCGGGATGACTCAAGGGAAGGACATGTATTGTGCACTTTATTTCCATTATTACTGTATCAGCTCCACCTCAGGGGGTCAGGCATTAGACTGAAGAGGCTAGGGACCCCTGCTGTACGGGAAGCTGGCGGCTTACAGAGCAGCTCTCCCCAGGGATGAGGAAGAGGCTGGGAAAGCAGGTCAAAATACACGGAGAAAAGCACGGGGCGCCGCTGGTGGTGAACACCATCGAGCATTTGTGCTTCGCCGTCCCGAGGCTGCAGAAAGTCTCAGGGGCCAAGGAGCAGGGCTCTGAGTGGAAATGGTCTCACCTGCAGAAGAACTCCCACAAGTCTAGGTTTTGAATTCTCTGAATCCTTTTAATTCTGTTGCGGTCCATTGTTTTCCCAAAGAGACTAGCGACTTCATTGTATTCGTGTGTCTGAGGGTGCAGAGGAATAAGCTGGAAAGAGAAGGTGGCACCGTGTTACCGGGGTCCTGGCCCACCTCCCCCGCAGGCGGGCGGGCACTGGGTGCTGCCCTTACCTGGTAGGGCAGCTCGGTGTTCACATTCTCCCAGTGCTGCGGCATGGGGATGGCCTCATTTTCACAGATGTAACTTGGGGCAGAAAAGACAAAACGACATTTTAGAAGCCGATTATAATCACTGTCAAAGACTCAGACATTTTCTGCCAAGATGAATTATCATGTGACAAAAGCAATAAAGTGTCGTTCTTGGTTTATTTTAAAACATTTACTGAATATTGGCTTGTGTGCAACTTTTTTTAAGGGCTGTGTTGAGAAATCTGATGGGAAACTTCAAAAATGATCTTATTTCAATCTTGTTTTCCTGAATTTGCCAGTTTCTCTTAAATGTAGGAAGACTTTAGGTGAAGAAAAGTAATTTCCAAGAAGAAAATCAACTTCTTGATTAAAATAAAACTCCTTTATCAGATTTATGGCGTCTGTTAAATACCATCCAGAACCCTCAACTACATGTTCAATGTCCTCTAAGATCTATTATTAACTCAGATCTAAACCCTTCTCTCTTTACTGTCTACTAGGCCCCTGCACGGTCCTAATTAATTCACCCTAAGCAGAAGTCGGTAAAGTCATCTACCATGTTTAAGCCACTGGATATGAACACAGAAAAAGACAATGACCTTTGGGAGCTTGACGGCAGAAGGCTATAACTGATACAAGAATCCTGTCTGGTGACTGGAGGTTGTGGGAGAAATGTATCAACTTCTAGCCTATCTTTAACTTATTTTTTAATTTTTTTAACTAATTTTACCTTTGGGGACATCACACAATCATGATTTAAAGATGAGGACAAGAGTTTGAGCAAACTCAGGGAGATAGTGAAGGACAGGAAAGCCTGGCGTGCTGCAGTCCATGGTGTCACAAAGAGTCGGACATGACTCAGCAACTGAACAACAAAAGTAAATGAAAGTGAACGGTGGATGGTTTCCCTTCCTCTCCAGTCCTTGGTCTAGTTCTCACCTCTTGCCTCCACACCAAGTAATCACTGCTTTTAGTCTCTTGGGTATTCTAGAACTTTAGGTTAACACAAACCTATGGGGTTTTTTTGTTTGTTTTGCACACAGGAATGGTAACATATTCCTGTGTCTTTTGTAGTTGCTCTATTTTTTTCACTATATTCTCAGAGACCCTTCTGTAACAGGGAGAGAACTCCCTGGCACACAGGCTGGCACAGGGCAGACATTCTGGACACTGGAGGATGAAGGTGTGCGCTCTACTGGACTGATGCAGGGTACCCCAGTACATGGACACACCCCCTCCTATTGATCGCAAGTTCCCTATGGGTGACATTTAGCTTTTTTCCAACTCTTTGCTGCCATTAAGGATGCTACAGAGAACAAGTCCATCCACTTGTCATTGTACATGGCCACTTGTCAAACTTTAAGATAACATTTTTGGAATGGCATTTCTGGGTCAAAGAATATATTTATTGCTAACTTTAACAGAAACTTCCCAGAGGCCCTCCTCGAAGGCTACAGTCATTGACATTCCAAGCAGAAATATAGAGAATGCCTACTTGTCCACAACCTCTCCAAAGAGGCGTGTTATCAGACTCTGGAATTTCTGTCAATCTGATAGTAAGAAATAACCTGGTATAATTTGTATTTCTCTTTTTTATAAGTGAGGCTGCATGAACTGCATAAATTCTTTTCATTCTTCTAAGGGGCTATTGGTTTTCTACTTAGAGATTCTTCAAAGTACTTCATATACTACAGAGACTGTGATACCACATAACAATACCTTTCCCAGGTTTTCTTTGTTTTTTGTTTTTTTCACTTTGCCTGAAGTATCTTTTTGGCTTCCTAGCTGGCTCAGTGGTAAAGTATCTGCCTGCAATGCAGGAGACCTGGGTTCGATTCCTGGGTCGGGAAGATCCCTTGGAGAAGGAGATGGCAACCCACTGCAGTATTCTTGCCTGGAGAATCCCATGGACAGAGGAGCCTGGTGGGCTACAGTCCATGGGACTGCAAAGAGTAAGGCACAACTTGGCGACTAAGCAACAACAGAAGTATCTTTCAGCTATGTAAAACGTTTTTGTTTGATTATTTGTTGAATATTTACAGCTTTGGTTAATTGCAAATTCCTTGCCAACAGGAATGTGTTATTTACTTTGCATGTCATAAGCACTCGATGTATTCCTGCAATAAATAAATAAGCATTTCTGAATCAACACCTCCTTGTCGTCAATGCTCTTCTGTATCCTGCCTAACCATTCTTCCTTTTATTATCCTACGTCTTCGGCTCTATTCTGGTTATTTCTCTCCTTCTCCTGTCTTTGTGCTATGGCTTCTATGGTCTGTGAGAGAACAAAGTGCCTTGCATTACATGCCTCTCCTGACAAAAGTACGCCAGATATAATGACATACAATTACTATAACATTTTGCATTATTATGTCTCATTCTCTCAGATTACATACCCTTTGAAGATAAGCAATTCCTTTCTTAAATTCCTTGTACTTAAGAATGAGGATATGATGTAGCTGGTAAGGAAGTAAAGTTTTCTCCCTTCCTAGAGCATTCATTATACAAGTACTTGCATAACTTATAAATCATGATCCTAAAATATATGCCAAAAGTCCCAAGAAGAAAACTGATAGAAACTTCAAAACTTTTTTCTTTAATCCTTTCAAAACATCTCCTTGGAAGAAGCAAATGGGCATCTCCTACAAGTCACATCCTATTAAATAGTATTGTTTGTTTGTTTCATTTTAAATTCTTTGAACAGTAGGAATCTCAATATTCGATTGAGGAATCATTCCCAATAATAGAAGACATGCCCTAAAGTTTTTAGCTTCAACTTCATTCATGTGAATGACACCTATTAATTCTCTTGTTTCTCTTGTGGCATTTATAGCAAGGCTTCCCTGGTGGCTCAGTGGTAAAGAATCTCCCTGCCAATGCAGGAGATGTGGGTTCGATTCCTGGGTCAGGAAGATCCCCCGAAGGAGGAAATGGCAACCCACTGCAGTATTCTTGCCTGGAGAATCCCCATGGACAGAAGAGCCTAGTGGGGCTACAACCCACGGGGTCGCAGAGTTGGACATGATGTGGTGACTAAACAACAACAAGGCATTTATAGCTTTTCAGGATATGGACAGCAGGTGGCCAGGCCATCATCCCATGCACTCCTGTTTTCCCAGGCCCTCTTTGGTCACCGAAGATCTGACATTACCTACACGAGTTGCCCAATGGGGTTCAGTGGAGGTGAAGACAAAGTGGGTAATTACTTAGGATTTACAACCCAAATAATTGGATGGTTCCAGGAGAGTCTTTCCAAGCTAAACTGAACTTACCTCAGTAGGTTATTTTAAGGATTTAGAGTAGAGACCATCAGGCATTTTTTAAACTACCACGCAAACTGCTCTAAAGAATTGAAAAATACATCTATCTAAGGGAAATGAAAAGGACGACAGGAAAGGAAATGCCAGTCGAAAATAACAGTACAGCTCGTGCACCAACAAATGTGAAAATTCAGTAAAGATTAATATTAAGATCATTAAATAACCCACCAAAACATTTTCCGTCTACTTATTCCTCTGCCAAATATTAACGAAGAGGAGAGAGAGAGAGCCCACTCTCTTTCCACCCCATTCCCCCCATGATACCTGAAAGCACTGATGGAAAAGGGGGCTCTTTTTATTAAGCGCTGCTTTCCCGTGGTGAGGTTCATCTGCTTCATTTCTGTGCACAGAGACAAAGAGGTGAGTCACAAGAATACACTGGGCGATGTGACGTCACGAAGCTTTGCAGCCACACAAGGACCACGGGGCTTCAGGAGCAGCGCCCAGCACGGCGTTGTTAGGGATACCTAACCACACGTCTGGTTATCAGCTTCCCTGCTGGATCTAGGCTCACACAGGAGGAAGCCAGCCTCACACATGGCTCGGTATGTAGGGTCTATTCCTTATCGTATCATGCTTGACTTAAACACATGAACAGAGAGGAGTTCTCAACTTTGGAAAATTAAAAGTACTAGGACGAGAAAGAAAGGACTGAATTTTCTGACTGGCTTCCTAAATCTTTACTTGGATTGTTCCAAAAATTTTGGAAATAACAACAACAAAAAAAATACATTACCATGATAAAACTTGCACAACTCACAGTTTCAAAAATTTGTACATTTCTTGCCTTCTCTTTAAATTGTACACCTAAACCAAAAAAATGGAAAACCTAGCTAGACTCAACACAGACTTACAGGAGAGATGCTAGTGATAAGAGGCTAATGAACTGACTGATGTATCACTTTCTTCTTTCCTCTCTTTCTCAGCCATGGCAGTATTTGCCAAGTCCACCTCATCATCCCCACTGAGGTAGGTGCTAAGTCTTACCAAGGGAATTCTGGTCATTTTACCATCTTGTCTAACTGATGTCATTCCACTCCAAGATGAGGCGGTTCACCTGGCCGGGCTGATGCTGTGAGAAGTGTGTTTACCCCTCCTGTATACTCCTAGGCTCTGTACACGCTGGCACAACCATGAGGCGGCAAGAAAGCAAGGTCGTCCCAGCACATGGAGTTAACCCTGTGATGCCTTCGTCTTATACCAGCTTGTTTTGAGTTTACTTCTCACAGTTTTTTTTTTACAAGAAGCTGAGCTGGCTTGTGACAAAATGATGGGGGCTAATTTTGCCAATGTACCTGGGAAATGCTAATACCTATACTTTCGAAACAGTGTCATTATATAGAGGGGTGGGAACTGGTGTTTATGTGACTCCTGTTCTTTGACGTTTGTTTTTTTTTTTTAAATAAACTGCACTGTCCAAGAGAAATGTTCCTCCAAATACAGTTCACTGGAAAGTATTCTTTCAAAGATACGTGGCTTGTTGGACCACCGACCAAACGCTTTGACGAGCTCTGCCCTCCACGTGAAGCTTGAGGTCTGCACGTCACGACGTCTCTCAGTGTGGCTGCAACACTGACAGGTGTGTGCCAGCCTCCAGTGTCCACCAGCACCTTCCGCCTAAGACAAGTGTCAGGCACCTTAAGGGCAGCCAATTTGCCTAATATTGTAAAAAATGCTAGGCTCAGTCAGATGTAAGAATCTAATGCCGCTAACTCTTGATTAAAAACAAACAACTCTAGGGCACAGCAGTCATCGGAGACTTGGCTGCAGCGATGTCTTAGTGGACAGTTTAACCCCCTTCGGTATGTCTGGGCCTTGATTCCTCCAAGGGGGTCTCCTGGGTTTCAGCAGCCCCCCAACCCCACCACAGCCAGCACTCGCTGTCATAAGGACTCTACTCTCAGAACCAGGAAAGAACACCTGACTTGGAAGACAGAGCTGTGTGGCAGCGCAAAGGCACTTTTGTTAAGAAAGCTGCCCTCCCTCTGGGTCCTGTTTGCCTCTGAGCAGTGAATAGCTGAGGCTGGCAACTGGAGACAGCAGTGTGAATGCAAGAGGTTTGTCATGGGGTCCCTAAAAGCATGCCCTTAGATTTCATCACAGATCAATGTTCATCTGGGATTAATTTCATCATGGATGAAATCCAAGTGGGGCTGATTTCCAGATTAGCTGGCTAACCCATGAGAGAGCCAGAAATCAGAAACTGGCTGAAGGCAATGTCCCTGAAGAGTGGTTTTCTAGGAAAGATGCCAAGAGATGGGTCATTTGGCTGAACTTTGGTCTTAAAACTAGAACCGACTACCTAGGACTTTGTCATGTAACTGCTCTGGTGGATCCTGAAATCACCTGATGGCTCCTACCTATTTCAAGAGACTGAAAGGACAAGGAGCGAAACAATGGCTTAGAGGTGTTTTGTGTTCCTTAGGTGAGAAGCATTATATGAACTCAAGATACACGAAACTCTCCATATACATCAGTATCTATAAGCATATAAACACACCTTTACAAAAGGCAAATCCAAAAGATTTTAAAGGTTGAATTTTTGTAGAGGCATCTTTATGTGTTACCAAAAGGGTTTACTTTGCTGTTTGCAAATATTAATATATCAACTAATCCTGATCTGTAGAACTGTAGATTTCACCATATCAACACAATAAGAACACACAACTATGAGGGAAAAAAAACATACCTGCAAAGTCTATCTTGTAGCTGAATTTGGAAGTGGTAAAAGAAATGGAGCCACAAGGGTTTGCTTTGAAGCTTTTTTCGATATCTTCACTGCTAACTGAACACTGAATGTTGGTATCCGGCTTTAAGACAAACCAGAAAGTTCATTTACCAGCTGTTCACAGAAACGGCTTGGCCACAGAGGCAGGTACTGGGGGACAAGACAGAGAATGGAGGGACAGAGGAAACTTGCTGACCTGTCCTAGTTACCAACACACAGGGAGAATCGGCTAAGACAACATGTGGGCAACGGCTTAAGGATTTTCAGCACAAAAAAAAAAACAAAAAACTTTAACAACTGGTTATAAGGCCTTTTTTCAAAGTATTGCAATGTTTTCAGATTATTGCCAAAATGACACATCTTAAGTGGCTCAAATCAAATCTTTTAAGTAGCCTCATAAGTGAAAAAAGAAAAAAGACCACAAACAAAATTTTGAGTGAGCTTAACTGTTAATTAGCTGTGTGACGTGGGACCAATTACATTAACTTTCCTGAGCTTCCCAGTCTTTGGCTGTAAGACAGTGTGTTAGCATCTGCTTTCGGGCGGCTATGAGGCTGGAGGAGAACACATATCTACACCCTCTGACCTGAGACTGGGAGCACAGAGGCGCTTCATGCAGGCTTGGTCTCTTCCCCGACCACTTGTCCACCAAACCAGGCCTGGCCTTGTGCATGCATGCCCAGACCACACACCCCGCAGACACGCTTACCCTGCAGACACGCTTACCCTGCAGACACACTCGCCCTCCAGACAGACAGAAAACACACACCATACCTTCTAAGAAAACACTGTGAAAACCTAGGGAAGGGAAGAGGAGCCAGAAGAGTTTGATTTTTCTTTTAGTTCCGCTCTCTGACTTCTCTAAGGTTTGGTTTCTGGCGGGTGCAGCTTCTATTAATTTTTCACGTGAGCATGACAATGCTCCATGTGTTTAACTCCCACCCCCGCCCCCCGAGGGGCACTACCTGAAACATGTGCCACTTGCCGCACTCCGCCAAGTAAAACCAGCCCCACTGTGTGTCTGACGTGTCCATCTCATCCACCTCGCTGTCTGTCGTCTTGGATAAGAATTCTTCCGCTTTGTGAAACATCTCCTGAAGTGCCGGAAACAGTGAGAGGAAGAGATTGTTTTCTTAGTAACCAATGCGCTGTTTACACATCACTTTTTTTTTTTAATTTTTACTTATTTATTTAATATATTTACTTGGCTGCAGGTCCAGGGGGCGCTAGTGGTAAAGAATCCACCTGCCAATGCTGGAGACTTAAAAAAACGCAAGTTTGATTCCTGGGTTGGGAAGATTCCCTGGAGGAGGAAATAGCAATCCACTCCAGTATTCTTGCCTGGAGAATCCCATGGACAGAGGAGCCCAGCAGGCCATGGTCCATAGGGTCACCAAGGGTCAGACACGACTGAAGTGACTTAGCATCCACACCGTGTCTTGGTTGTGGCATGTGGGATCCCGTTCCCTAACCAAGGATTGAACATCAGCCCCCTGCATTAGGAACACTGAGTCTTAGCCAGTGGACACAAGGAAGTTTCTACACATCCTTTTTCTTCTGACAAAGAGCTGTATGTCAACTGCGATGCTGACAAACAGCATGCTGTCTCACATATTGGCTCTGAAGATAAACATTTAAAATGATGAATATCACATTTGCACATCGGACATGGAACATAAAGTTCCAGTTTTTAGCAGCAACTGCTGGGGAAACAGTTTGGAGGTTTTGGATTAACTGCTTATAAGAGAAGTTCCCAGAGTGGGCTGTTTAGGAAAAAAAAAAAAAAGGAAAGCTTCAGTTTGCATGTGCTCACTCTCTAAGTCATGTCTGAATTTTTTTTGCGACCCTAGGACTGGAGCCCACCAGGCTCCTCTGTCTGTTAGATTTCCCAGGCAAGAATACTGGAGTGGGTTGCTGCTTCCTTATCCAGGGAATCTTCCCAACCAAGGCATCAAACCCAAATCTCTCCTGTCTCCCGCATTGGCAGGCGGGCTCTTTACCACTGCACCACCTGGGAAGCCTTGATTCAGGCTGGGATTATGAAGTAAACCACAAATTTTAACTTTACGTTTAAACGGTCCATGGTCTGTTTAAAAAAGCTCTTGGTGTTTATATAAAAAATACATTGACTATCATTGCTTAATAAATCGGACAAACAATCAGACACTTGGGTGGATGCATCCACGTCCATGCAACCGCTTAAGTAAAAAGCTGCGTCAGCACCGAGAAGTGCTGCAGCTCCTCAGTGTAGCGCCGAGAAACGTGTCTTAGCCTGTGTTCACGTATTTGGCTGAAGGATCCACGCTGCCACAATTAGTTAAGACCAAATACTGACACATTCGATTTTTGTTTTAAACATGTGTATTTCAGGAACTCCCTGTCTGAGACTGAAGAGTTTTCACTGCCAGGGCCCAGTTCAATCCCTGGCTAGGGAACTAAGATCTTGCAAACTGTATAGCATATCTTTAAAACAAGCAATTAATTAAGTATTCATATTTCATTTAGTGGCATGGAAAGATGTTTTTACTATATGGTATTGAGAGTACAAAGGAGGCTATATTAAATGGAAACAGTATGATCCAATTTTAATAAAAATATACATCTATCTTTACCCACATAAATGTGTATATGTCTATATATGCACATGTGTATATGCATACACACAGAAAAGTTCAAATGGATATACATTTAACATGACTTTTTCCCTGAATTTTAGGATAATAATAGTAATAATAGTAACCCTTATATGACTCTTCAGTTCAGTTCAGCTCAATTCAGTTGCTCAGTCGTGTCCGACTCTTTGCAACCCCATGGACTGCAGCACGCCAGGCCTCCCTATCACCAGCTCCCGGAGTTTACCCAAACTCATGCCCATTGAGTCAGTGATCCCATCCAACCATCTCATCCTCTGTCATCCCCTTCTCCTCCTGCCCTCAATCTTTCCCAGCATCAGTTTTTTCAAATGAGTCAGCTCTTCGCATCAGGTGGCCAAAGTACTGGAGTTTCAGCTTCAACATCAGTCCTTCCAATGAATACCTAGGACTGATCTCCTATAGGATGGACTCTATTAGGTGCCAAATGCTGTCCCAGTACTGCACAAGTAATACTCACAACAGCCCTATGACATAGATACTATTATTACCTCACATTTATAAATGAGAAGGTCACAAGAGGGAAGCCAGGGTTCAAACACAGGCCATGCAAACCTAGGGTCTGTGCACTTCCACACAGTGGAACACTGCCTTATATTTCCTTATCAATGACTTTATAATCTTGTCTATGTCATGTACATGTTATTATTTTTGAAAGTTTTAAACATTTTTGGGTGGAGAATGTGATGAAGAGGTCACCAGAAAAGAGGGAAAGAGGTGAGTCATGATCAGCTTTACCTAGAATGTAGCTTTCTGTTCTCATTCTCTAAGGGTTTTAAAATTACCAAATTTGCACAGGTAATATATGAAAATATTCTCCTTGCAAAAAAGCAGAACATTCAAGATAAAGCTCAAGACTTCTCTGACCATCACTTCCCTTCCTGGTAGCTCTCACCTTCTTTCTCCACGGTTAATTAATACTATTCACTTAACTGTGTATCATTTAGACTTTGCTCTGTGTGTATGTATATGCATGTGTGTTTCATCATATACACACATACAAAGTTAAATGGTTACCAGTGATTTGTCAAAACTTTAATTTCCTGTATCTCTGATTTTTCTTTGTTTGTTTGGCAAAGAATATGTACTACTTGGGTAATTTGGAAAATACTTGTTTTAAATTTCATTCTTTAAAGTATCCAGAAGTGGTGTCACCTGGGATAAGCTTCTATGCTCTTGTTGAGGCCATGGTTTCCTTCTCACAAACCTGAGATAAGAAGCTCCTTCCTCCCGGGCTGCTGGGAGACATGATGCTCAGTCCTGCAGAGTACCAAGCACAGTACCTGAGCACAGGGGATGGGGCTTGTTATTTTTTCATTCATGTTTGGAAACTCTCTCCAAGGAATGCTTTGTAATTATGTTCAGGAACTTCCCTTCAGGTTTTAAAGTGGATTGGCAGCTAAGAAATGAAAACCAGAACACCCTTGGAGCAAGAGCTGTAGATTTAGGCTCTGCTGGTGGCTCAGCAGGTAAAGAATCCACCTGCCAACCCAGGAGACACGGGCTTGAACCCTGGGTCGGGAAGATTCCCCCAGAGGAGGAAATGGCAACCCACTCCAGTGTTCTTGCCCGAAAATCCCATGGACAGAGGAGCCTGGCAGGCTGCAGTCCATGAGGCCGCAGAATCAGACGTGATTTAGCAACTGAGCACACATGCACACGCATTTAACCTTATATATTTTAACCCAGTAATAAAGGCAGTGATTTAAATTTTAAGATCTGCTGTGTAAGTTATTCACAGTGCCTACTCTTTCTTCTTTATTACTTACTGTTCACCTAATTTGCCCATTTTACTGTGAGAGACACAGAAAGCAAGAGTGACCTAAATTTAGTTTTTCTTCTGAAAATAACTTGAAAAATTGGGAAGGATGAATTTCAAGGAAATAGTTCAGATAAATATTTGGCTTATGAGTTCCATCTAGGAGAAGAGGAATGGGACACAGCATACAAGCAACCGGCGTGCTGCAGTGTGGTACACTAACCCAGGACCACACTGTGAGCCAGGTTCCCAGGGGCGAGCTCCCCAAAGTCCTCTCTGAGCGTCCTGTCATAGGCAGCTGTGTCAGTAGGCCAGAGAGGGTGTGCCCAGGACAGACTTGTCCACCATCCCTGTAAAGTGAGGGCCACAGGCCAGTACCACTGCCCTAAAGCGCTTCAGATTTGATACAATTCCTCACCAATTTACACTCATTTTTTCCTCCACAGCCCAAGGCACAAGAGAAGTCATTATTCTCCAATTAATGTTAGCAGGGGGGAAAAAAAGAAATAGAGAAAAGATAATTACATTGTCTAGAATCACACAGCTGGCAGTTCAAAGAAGATTCAAGAAATACCCGAGGCCTCTGGCACGTCGGTTCTTCCCTAAGATGCCAGCCCCGTTTCTTCTCTCCTCTGGGGCAAAAGGTGAACGTGACCACTTTGCTTCACAGATGCTATGACTTTCTTTCTACAGACTCAGTTCATAAGACTAAACCTGTATGGTTTTCAACAAGTTCACCATCCAAAGGAATGGCTAGTCTATATAATAAGGCTCAAAGAGTTAAGTCAAGCTTCAGTGAATACCTTTAAAACACTGTAACCACGGAAGTAATGTATCGAGGTTATAATACATTTATAGGCAATGAAAGCAGTGTGTGCAAGCTGTCCACCAGGGGGAAGGCAGTCAATAAATGTCAGTGAGATGGGTTCGGTCAGCCAGGGTGCCATACTCTGCTTGATCCTCTGGTTAACTGGCAGACAACGATACTTCCTGCACATCAGGCTGAGAAGAAAAAAAAAAAAGTTAATGTAAAGTGGAAAAAAACATTTTGTAAGTTTTCAAGTGCAATGCGTATGCTGGCGGAGCCTGTCTACAACACTAGCTATTCCAAGGGGAATATTTATGGGGCCTGGGAGCAATCAGTTTGGATCATTAAATTGAAAGACCAGGTGGAAGATAAGTTTACAGTCAAAATCCTGGTCTGTGGGAGAAAAATAACCTTCCAGATGGCTAAAACTCTCTGATGAGTTTATTAAAATAAATATCATTCATTTGGTTAGTATAAACGTAACACCTTGAGGAAATAATATTTGGTAATGAAAACCTCCTTGTTTCTTATATGTGTCAAAGTGTGAAGTGTTAGTTGCTCAGTTGTATCCCACTCTTTGAGACCCCATGGACTGCAGCCTCCTCTGTCCATGGGATTATCCAGATAAGAATACTAGAGTGGGTTGCCACTTCCTGCTCCAAGGAATCTTCCCAACCCAGGGATTGAATCTGGGTCTCCTGCATTGCAGGCAGACTCTTTACCATCTGAGCCATCAGGGAAGCCCCCTTCTTATAGGAAGAAGGTCCAAAGTTGGATATCGAAAGTTTCGAAACAGGGTAGAATTTCTGGAATGACAAAACTGCGTTTTAACTGGTGGACATTACTTAAAAGAACAACAACATTTAAAGTCTCTGG